TAGAGGGACAGCGCAGGAGGGGAAGACCCTCTATGAGATGGATTGATTCAGTGACTGGGGTACTCGGGATGGGTGTGTCAGAGGCAATGAGATTGGCAAAGGATAGAGCACGGTTTAGGGCTGTTGTACATAGGGTCGCTATGAGTCGCAAACGACTCGACGGCACATAACAACAACAGCAGTGGTGCTAGCGAAGGGGATTTAAGCGCGACTCCGAGGTCTTGGAGTAAGACTCCTTTTCCCTCGGGACTGCAAGCACCAGCCAGTATTCTTGTCAGTTCATTCACTTATTTGTTGTTCTACCGCCTGTGAGACAGATAATAGAGATAGTTCTTGCTCTCAGACGTCACAGGTCTAAAGAAGACAGACCATAAAAAGCTACTGTGTGAATTTTGTTAACTTGGAGGTTGTCCCAATAGCACTTAATTCAGAGAAGAAACATCTCAGGACCATCTGGGATTAATTGACTTAAAGGATACACAGTAGAGGTGATGCTGAGCAGTAGACGTGATGCTAAGCTGGCTCACGAAGTAAAAAACACAACAAACTTTTTTTTTTTTTGCATTAGAATACACAAGGTTTTTTAGAAAGTGGTATGACAAGGCACCTGCAACAGATACTCATCAGTGAAGAGGCTAGTATTGATGTCTGAAAATTAAGCAACATTCAAGTCATCTCAGTAAGACAGATTGACAAATGGGGTTTAAAATATTGTTAGTTTATTTTTCAGTAAAGTGTAGTTGGAAAAATGTATGCTGCTTTACTTGTGCTAAGATTCTGGCTGAAAGCAGAAAATACCAGAAGAATGTTTTATTGACTATGCAAGGGCATTTGACTGTGGATCATAACAAATTATGGCTAACATTGAGAAGAATGGGAATCCCAGAGCACTTAATTGTACTAATATGAAATCTATTCCTAGCTATTCAGTGCACAAAGCAAGGAAACACTGCATGGTTTAAAATCAGGAAGGGTGTGCATCAGGGTTGTATCTGTTCTCCATACCTATTCTGTCTGTACTTGACTTGAGGGCACCTAACAAGAACAAGAAGTTGTGCTAAGTGGATAAGAGAAAAGAGTTTTTTTAAATAAGATAGAAGGCAGTGTATTTCTTGTTAGGTGCTGTTGAGTGGACAGTGACTCATAGCAACCCTGTTAATAAAAGATCTGAACCATTATCTATCATGCATCATCCTCACCATGCTTGTTATACTCCAGTCCATTTCTACAGTTGGTGTATCTGTCCATCTTGCTGAAGGTTTGCCTCTCTTGTGGTGACCCTCCACCCTTGCAAGCATGATGTCTGTTTCCAAGAACTAGCCCCTCCTAATAATATGCCCAAAGTATGTGTGATGAAGTGGAAATGGTTTTCTGGAAATAGTGATAATTGACAGGTCACAGGTAAGTGTTATTTGAGAAATTATGGGTTAGGCTTCAAGAAGAATAAGAATCCTCAGGAGGAAAAAGAAACATAGAAGGTAATTAATAAATGTTTGTTAGATTTGGGAATGTTGTTAGGAAGGGCCAGAACTTGGAGAAAGACATACTGAAATGATAGATTGTTAGCCAAAGAGATGAAGGGAGAACTTCAATGAAGTGGATTGACACAGTGACTGTAACAGTGGCTTTAAGCATGGCAGAGATCCTGAGGATGGTGAGGGACAGGGCAAGGATCAGATCAAGTCACTATGAGTTGTAGTCGATTTGACAATTCTTAATAACAAGAAGAGATCATTAATTGGGAAGCTTTGGTGGCTCAGTAGCAAGTTGCATTTCTAACACAAAGGTGTCTCCAGCAGTTCAAGTCTACCAGTTATTTTGTGGGAGAAAGATGGGCAATCTCCTCTCATTATGATTTACAGCCTCTGAAAACAGATAAAGGGTCACTCTGAAAATCAGCTTGATCGCAGTGAATTTGAGAGTGTTAGTGGTTTTAATTTTTGAGATCATTAAGTAAGTGGAGGTATAGTAAGCAGTATGGATCATAAGACAAAACATATACTTCCTTGGAAATCCCTGACCATGTAACAACAGATCAGACTATTCTGTTAAGGAGAAAGTGGCTCAGTTTGTGTGATGCCCACTTTCATTGAAGTAATGACACTACAAAACAATTGAGGGGGAGGTGAAGATATTCTCTTTATTGGAGAGTGATTGGTAATTTTGGAAAGTATCTTAAAAATGGATAATTACTATACTGTTTTGAAAAGCATTTTCTCGGTGTCATTATACTGTTTGAGAGGATGTTGAAGTTTACCATGTTGTTAGGCAAAAAGCATGTATTATGTAGTTTTGCAGATTGCCTCATAAGTCAGTTTTCTATGGCAGGGATGTGTTGTATGTGAAAAATACTGTAGTATGTTAGATGCTAAGCGACAGAACCACACAGAACACATTGATACAATCTCTTAAAAATTCTGGTTCAGTGGAAAACAAAGATTGCTAAGTAATCAATGCAGAAGGGTAAGACCATAATGGAGTTATTTACAAAGTAAAGAAGGATTATTACTACCATGTAGGATTGAGGAAAGGATTGTGGAGAAGGGAACCTTTACAACTTGTTACAGCCATCCATCTCAAAATTCTTATCATTTAAAAACATTCTGTTGTGTAAGTGCTCAGCGGTTAGCCAAAAAGTTGGTTATTTGAAACTATTAGCCTTTCCATAGGAGAAATATGTGCCAATCTCCATCTGAAAAGATTTACAGCTCTCTGAAAACCCACAGAGAGCACTTCTACTCTGTCGTTTATGTATGCCTTCTGTGAGCTGGAATTGACTCAGTGCTGAAGAATTTAGGTGTTTGGTTAACCCATCAGGTATTTCATTGCTTCCAGTGTGCCAAGTATTGTGAAGATTCACCTTTTTGTAAATATATGAGCAAATCTTTGTGTTTGCCAGTTATCCATTTTTAATAGATTGCTAATTATTTATTTATTTAAGTGGTCAGTACCGTGTTGTTTCTTAAATATTTTACTGGCCAATGTAATGATCTGGAGACTTTTTATTCACACAGACACGCAAACACACAGAGTTTCCTTGTAAAACCTAATCTGATGAAATAAAACATATACTAGCTCCTTTAATCTTTACAGAAACTAGCTGATAAGACTTTTTTAAAGGTTTTGTTGATGTGGGGGTGAATATATATGAACAAAAGGAATGTCACATTCTTAGAAACTGCTTGTCACTTAATGATTTTATTTCACTGGTGTGTCTCTGTGACTAAAGGTTTTTACTGTTTACTTTCTAGTTGGCATGCAAATACTGGGCTCCTCACATCAAGAAAAAATCACCTTTTGATATAAAAGTAAGTATTTTTTTTCCAACATACTTTTGAACAGGTAAGCTTTTTGTATCTTTTTTTCAAAGGGTTAACTGAAGAAAAGCTTTCATACTTTTTTAAGTTGAAAATACAACTTTCTGATTAGAAAAGTAATAACTCATGTTACAAAATTTGGAAAATGCACAAAATATACATAAAAAAATAGAAATCATTACCTGTAAATAACCTCTACTGTCATCCTGTTTCTTTTCCTTTAAACTTTTTAAAAAAGTATATAACTTATTTACTTCCTTTAGAATCTTATTCTTTTTTCCCCCAACAAAAATTAGCAAAATATTTTAATAAATACTATGAATTCCAATAAACAGATGAGAAAATATTCAACCTCTTAGTCATCAGAGAAAAACAGATTACACAAAAAATGAAATACTCATATATCTATGAAAATTATTAAATTAGAAAAGTTGTTGAGCCACAGAGTTATATACTATTGATGGAAAAGTAAAATAATGCAACTCCTTTGGAAAAGCGTCCTCCTTCTTAGAACATTAATCAAAATACTTGATGGTCCAATCATTCCAGTCCTAGGATTTTTACTCAATATAAATGGAAATATAGGTTTAACAAATATATGTGCATGAATACTCATAGCAACTTTATTTTTTTTCCAAATTTTTTAAGTTTTTATTTTTAACAAAAGTTTACAGAAAACTTGGATTTCCATTCATTCATTGTTGCACACAATTATTCTTTTTTTCTTTGTTATACTAGTTTATTTACAAAATTCGAATACATTGTTTCTCACACTAGTTCCTTCCCATTTTCCTAACCCTCCACCTACCCATCAAATTGTGTGCCCCCACGATACCATGTGTGAAAATACCTGTAAGTGCATACACATGCCAGTTCATTTTGCATAGACTCTATTGCTTTCCTTTGTATGACTGGAAGCAGAGGTCTGGAATAATGAAAAGAGTGGAAACAAATTAGTGTGGGGGGTTAAATGACTCAGGACCACTAATGTAGGAGATTGAATTTATTAGTTCCATTGAAGCAACTTAGAATAAATTAAATGAAAAATTTCTAAATACAAGTTAGTTCTTAATGGAATAGTTTCTCGAAAAGATGTCTTTACGTGAAATAAATGTTAATACATTTATATTGTCAAATTAGTAATGAAGACAGTACATTTTGCCATTAGGAATGGAATTGTCCTGTTTTAGTCATAATAAAACTAAGATTCTTAACCCAAAAGTCTTACATTATTATTTGAACTTGAATGTTTTATTTAGTTTCATTTGGCCAGTTAATTCCATTTTAGTATTGGTTAATAGTCTTAAACGTGGTATACATTAGTCTTGGTTCTTCTCAGGATTATCATATCTTACTATGTTATTGATAGCTAACCCTCTAGCTAAGATTTTCTTAGTATAGTCTGTCTATTTATGTTTGTGTGTGTTGGGTCACAACAGGATTGTTAAAGAAGAAACCCAACCCATCCCCAAACCAAACTCTTTATTATTGTTTCAGTAGCAGGCATATTTGATAGTTTTCCTAAGCTAGGAAATGTTGTGTAATAATTAGACACCACGAATTTTGAGTCTAAATATTTTTTTTGGGGGGTACTAAACATTTTAATATTTTTTATAACAGGTTATTGAAGATATATATGAGAAAGAAATTGTCAAATCAAGGTGAGACAACAATTGTTTTCTGTTTGGACTGTTGCTGTGGCACATTCCTTCAAGTCAGAATTTACATTTAGCTGATCTTCCACCTGGTTTTCAGAGGCAGTAAATTATGGCTAACAGTGAGAAAAATGTGTTCTGGAATTGCACAACACTTAATTGTGTTCATGTGAAACCTATTCGTAGCCCAAGAGACTGTTGTGTGAACAGAGCAAGGGAGCACTACGTGGTTTAACATTAGGAATGGTGTGTGCCAGGGTGTATCCTCTCTTCATATCTGTTCATTCTGTGTGCTGGACTCTAAGAAGACAAATCTGGCATCAGGTTTAGAAGAAGACATCAAAAACCTATATTATACAGATGACACAGCTTATTTGCTGTAAGTCTTCACTTGAAGGACTTGAAGCTCTTGCTGCAGGATATCAAAGATTGCAGACTTCGATATGGACTCCATCGCAACATTAAGCATTCTCATCATGGGACCAGAGGAAACATTATGAAAGATGGAGAAAAGATTGAAACTGTCGCTGAATTCATCTTATTTGGATCTGTAAGCAGTGCACTTGATACCAGCAGTCAGGAATTCTGGACACAATAGTGCATTGGAAAAGTATGCAATTAGAGACCACTTCAAATAATTGAGTGTGTTTAATTCAGGCCATGATCTTTCTAGTCACTTTCTACGTTGCTGAGAGCTCGACAGTGAATAAGGATAAAAGAGGAATAAATTCCTTTGCCTGTGGGATGACATCAAGGGTATCATCCATGAAGAGGACAAAAGGGCATTCATTATAAAGAAGAAACTGAAAAAACTAAAATATATGTCAAAAGAGACTAAAAATTATACTCGACCATTCAGAAGCCAAAGGAGAGATGAGATGCTGAAGTAAAAGAGCTGAATAGAAGATTTCATTGGGCAGCTTGAGAAGGGAAAAGCAGACCATTATAACAGAATGTAAAAAGAGCTCGAATTAGAGAATAAAAAGGAAAGAACTTTTGTGGTAATTCTCAAGCTGCAAATACTGAATGAAAACCAAATTCAGTCCTTTAGTTGCAGTATTAAGAGATGCTGTAGGCTAAATCTTGAATGATCCAGGAAGAAGTAGAAGTAGTATGGAATATACAGAGCCACTGTACCAAAAAGAACTATTGACACGGAAACATTTCAGGAAGTGGCATGTGGTAAAAGAAACAGTGGTGATGGAAGAAGTTCAAGCTATGGTTGGAGGCATTAGCAAAAAGCAAGTTTCCGGAGTTCATTGAGATACCAATTAAAATGTTTCAAACAACAGATGTACACCAGGACATGCTAACCATCCTGTGCTAAGAAATTTGGAGCTTATGGAAGAGATTCATGTTTTTGTTCCCATTTCTTAGAATGGTGATCCAACAGAATGTAGTGATTACTCAACAGTATCATTAATATGCAATCAAAATATCACTGAAGATCATCTAAAAGTGGCTGGTACAGTACATTGACAGAACTGTCAGAGGTTCAAGCTGGGTTTAGAAGAGACTGTGATATGAGGAATATCATTGGTGATGTCAGATAGGTAATGAAAGCGGAGAATACCAGAAGAATGTCTGTTCATGCTTTATTTACTATGCAAAGACATTTGATTGTGTGGATAATAACAAATGATGGCTAACATTGGGAAACGGGCATTACAGAGTGCTTAAATGTGCTTGTATGAAACCTATACCTAGACTAAGATTTTATTGTCCATACAGAACAAAGAAGAACTACATGGTTTAAAATCAAGAAAGGTGTGTGTCAAGGCTATATCCTTACTGTATACCTATTCATTATGTATGCTGAGCAAATAATTTGCAAAGCTGGACTATGAAGAAGAATGTGTCATCAGGATAGGAGGAAAAACTTATCACCAATCTGTGTTATGCAGGTCTAAAACACTTGCTGCAGAAGATCAAAGACTACAGCTTTCGATATGGATTACACCACTTGGCCAGTAGGTAGCATCATAGTAGATGCAGAAAAGATTGAAGTTGTCAACAGTTTTCATCTTACATGGATACACAATCAGCAGCCTTGGTTATTACAGTCAATAAATCAAAAGGTGTGTTGGATCAGGAAGATCTGTCAAGGACCTCTCCAAAATCTTCAGGAGCAATGATGTTGATTTAAAAACTAAGGTGGCACTTATTCATGCCGTAGTCTTTTTAGTCACTTGCTGTCTATCTGAGTACTGCACTTTGAGTAAAGATTACAAAAAAAGAATCAGTGCCTTTCTTTGGTTGTGGTGTTGGAGAAGAGTATTGAATATTCCATGGACTGCAAGAAGAATGAACATATGTCTTGGAGAAAGTGTAGCCAGAGCTCCTTGGACGCAAAGAAGTTGAAGCTTTGTCTCACACACTTTGAGCATGTTGTTGAGAGGAGCTAATCGTTGGAGAGGTAAAGGTTCATCGAAGGAGAGGAAGAGACAAAGACCCTCAGTCAGATAGATTGACACAGTGCCTGCAGCATTGGGCTCAAATATGTCAAAGATGATGAAGATGGCCCAAGATAGGATAAGGTTTTGATCTGTTGTGCTTTGGGTTGCTGTGATACATAATCGACTCAACAACAGCAACAGCAATGACTATGTCATCAACTCTCTGATTCCCACACCCCACCATCTTTTGGAGAGCTTGACTCTTCAGCATGATGGTTTATTTGAATAATAAATGAAAAGTGGTTGATCAGTGTGAAACAACTTGAAGCAGACTGCCTTTTGACAGTGTGATTTTATGAATATTGATGACAAACATTTGTGTTTAGATTTAAATTCCTTTTGTTCTTAAAGTATGTTTGTAGTGTTTCTTATTAAGTTTGTTACATACATAGGATGTGATTCATTTACATAAATCTTGATTACCTTTAAAAATAACATAAACTATGCTCGACCACATCTAACAACAATTGTAATTATTGTTTGTGAATGCATTTATTCATTTAAATGATTTATTTTTTTAAAAATCCCAATAAGATTAATAAACTTTCACTCAGATTAAATAGACTTAATAGAAAAATAATGGAAGCCACTCTGAAACAAAATAGAAACAAAGGCAAAATGTGTTTATTTTCAGTACATTTTCCTCTTTGAATATATAGTAAAAGATTTCAAAATGCATTTGCCTTAAAATGTGGAAATATATGTAATATTAAATGCCTTTATTTTTAAATTTTTTAGGTTTGCCATCAGAAAGATAATGCTTCTGGAATTTAGGTGAGTTTAAATGCTTTACTTTGCTGAGGTAAAGAAGGCAATGTAATTTAACTTGTAGTTACAGTATTTGTATAGTTTTGAGAGTAGTTATCAAATCCTTGAATATATAGGGGAAGATCGTTTAGAGTTAAAATCATAATTGTCATGTGAAGAGTAATTTCAATCCTCTTAACTTTTTTAGTGGAAAAAAAAAACAACAACTGTTTGGGAACTTACCATGTAGTCACGTTGTTATTGTGTTTCCACAAGTCAGAACTGACTCACCTCACCCAGTGAGTTTTCAGAGGCAGGAAATCACAAGAGAGGGGATTGCTCATCCTTCTCCCGCATAGCTGCTGGTGGACTTGAACTCTGTGCCTTTGAGAATGCAGCACAGCTTTTTTTACCACTAGCCCACCAGAGTGGATTATTTAAAATAAGATATTACTATTAAAAATTGTGGCAAGCTAGTGATATTCATGGAGTATCTGAAAGGGTATCTGTACAGAAGCCCTCCTGAATTGAATTCATACTTCTCTATTTGAAGTCCATTAGGATAATACTACATTCAGAAATCGCAAGAAGTTTAGTAATTAAATATAGCATGTAAAATATTTTTTAAAGTTATTATAGCATAAAGAAATAAATATGTGAGCAAGATAAAAGACACTAATGAAGAAGATCACATTTGGAAAATGAAAATAAAAGAATGAATAGATCCTCTCCCTGCTGCTGCCTCCTCCTGGAATGGGCCCACTCACGATGTCTCTTCTCTTCATAGTTGTTTATGCCTCAGCTACTACCTCCTCCCTCATCCTCACGCACGATAGATGACAAAGGCACCAACATCTCCAGCTGAACGGTCTGTCAACAAGGAGTCACGCCAGGAATGCACAGCACGAAGACTGGCTTTCATAAGTACAGTCTACAAAAAGACTTGCTAAAGCTGTTATTAAAAAGCTCAATATCAGCAGTGAAAACCAGGCCGGGTGCTGATTGTGGCACAGACCACCAACTACTCATATGCAAATTCAAACTGAAGTTGAGGAAAATTAAATCAAGTCCATGGGAACCAAAATTTGAGCTTCAGTCTATCCCACTCGAATTCCAAAACAATCTCAGGAACAGGTTTGAGGCCTTGAGCACCA